GAGCCAAGCACCAGCCTGGGCAACATTAGGAGCCTATCTCTTAGCAGGGAAAAAAAATGCCAGGTGGGTGGCAGTTTCCCTGTGGTCCAGCTATGTCAAGAAAGGTTAAGGTGGGGCCAGGCACGGTGGCTCATGCCTATAATCTTAGCACTTTAGAAGACGGAGGTGGGTGGATCACAAAGTCAGGAGTTCAAGACCAGCCTGGCCAAACATGGTGAAACCCCGTCTCTACTAAAATACAAAAATTAGCTGGGCGTGGGCAGGCGCCTTAATCCCAACTACGTGGGAGGCTGAGGCAGGAGAATCACTTGAACTCGGAGGGTAGAGGTTGCAAGTGGAGCCGAGCTCACACCAGCACTCCAGCCTGGGCAGCAAAGTGAAGACTATTCTCAAAAAAAAAAAAAAAAAAAAAAAAAGAAGGCTAAGTTGGGAGGATTACTTGAGCCCAGCAGTCAAGGCTGCAGTGAGCTAAGCCATGCCACTGCACTCCAGCCTGGACAACAGAACAAGACCCTGTCTCAATTTAAAAAAACAAACAAACAAACAAAAAACCATGAAGCAACAGTTCCATTCTCTTTTTCTCATGGGAAGATCAAGAAGGCTATGAGAAAATTTATATATTGTTCAAAATAAAATGGTTTTCTATTGTCTAAAGCCTTCAGAAGAGAAAATTACAAAAGGGCTATGATAAAACTCATATACTGCTCAAAACTAAAATGTTTTCCTACACTGTGTTGCCATGATAAATTGGGACATTAATTCCCCAGACCAGGAAAAAGTCAAGTCTCAACACCAGCCAGACACAGAAACGAGATGTAACATTTTCCCCAAACTCACAAAGAGAATTCTTCTCGTAGACGCCTTCTATATTGCTTCTTCGGTTTCATGGTGTTGAAGTAGGGCAGTTTGATAACATCAGGCCACACAGCTGGACAAGGGCTACCACAGAGTCGGCTAAAAACAAAGCAAAAAGCAAGAACAACAGAGTGAGTGAGTCAGCATCATGAATTCTGGAGGTTTCAGAAGCAGTAATTATTACCTCCTGAGGTCTGGGGAATCTTTGCTTATTACATTAGAGGGCATGCAGAAAGGAAAATATGATATTACTGCTTTAAGGACAGAAAGGAATAGAACAGAAATAACTGGTTATAATAGAGCAAAGAAAACATACTTGGATAATAATCCTAAATGATTCACATCATTTGGATTTGTGGAATGTTTTGATCCCCCTATACAGGTTTTTATTACCAGTTTTGTTCTGTTCGGTTAATACTAATTACAAAGGGCTAAGCTGGTCCTATAGTAACCCTATAGGGTAAACTGTGAGATGAGAAGACAGTATAAGACTGAACATTTTGATAGATAATTGACAGTTTACCAAATAACAAAAAAAAAAATTGAGTTACATACCACCTTTAAAAAATGTCTACATTGGCTGGGGGCGGTGGCTCACGCCTGTAATCCCAGCACTTTGGAAGGCCAAGGCGGGCAGCTCACAAGATCAGGAGATCAAGACCATCCTGGCTAACATGGTGAAACCCCGTCTCTACTAAAAATACAAAAAAATTAGATGGGGGTGGCGGCAGGCGCCTGTAGTCCCAGCTACTCAGGAGGCTGAGGTAGGAGAATGGCGTGAACCCGGGAGGTGGAGCTTGCAGTGAGCCGACATCACGCCACTGCATTCCAGCCTGGGCGACAGAGCGAGACTCCGTCTCAAAAAAAAAAAAAAAACAAAGGTCTACATTAGGCTGGTGTGGTGGCTCATGTGTGTAATCCCAGCACTTTGGGAGGTCAAGGCGGGAGGACTGTTTGAGCCCAGGAGTTCAAGCCCAGGCAACAAACATAATGAGACCCTGTCTCTACAAAACAAATGAATGAAAAAATAGCTGGGACTACAGGTGTAGTCCAAGCTACTCAGGAGGGTAAGGAGGGAGGATCACTTGAGTGCAGGAGTTTGAGGCTGCAGTGAACTATGATTACGCCACTGCACTCCACTCTAGGTGACAAAGTGAGACACTCTCTATTTAAAAACAACAAAAAACAAAAAACACTACACTAACCTGCTATATTCTTCCCTTTAATTTTATTGAAAAAACAAAACAAAAACAAATCCGCCCAAATGCCAGCCCAATCCTGGGCCTTCCCCAAATTTTCTATTACAGGTTGTATTTCATAACTATTTACTTGCTATATACCTTACTAAATTCTAAATTCTTTGAAGGCAGGGACGTACTTTTTTATCTCTGAATCCTAAAGTTTAATGTTAAAAGTAATCCGTTGTACAACAGGCTCAATAAATGTTTACTGAATAAATTTAATCTAATCTGAGCTATGAATGGAAGGGCCATCCCAAAAATGGTATGCTTTTATATGAAGAGCTAATAAAAAATATGCAAGGTAAGACCTAAAAATGAGATGAAATAAAACTTCTTTATATGCATAGCCCATGACAAAATATATGGTAAACCTGACTGAGTAAAGAGAAACTTACTTGGACATAAGAAACATAAACTCATTCAGAATGACTAGAAAGTGTTAGAAACTGGAGGATGAGATTACCTATCACACCTGGGCACTCAAGAGCACATGTACAGCTGTACCTGATCAGTTCCAGCTGAGCCAGTTCCAGATTGGCTTGAAAAATAGGCTTCTTTGTGAACAGTTCCCCAAGAATACATCTAGAAAAGGTAAAATTGAGAGGTCAGAAGAGAAATTCTTAGAGCCTATTTAAAGTGTCTCAAAAATTTTTTATATTATTAATGTATCAAGTTGCAACGAAGATAACTAGCCCCAAATTTCAGTGTCTGAGTTTCCAAAGAGAAAATATTTCTTACAGTGAAACAGACAGTATAAAAGATTTAAATTTGCCAGCAGATCAAACTTTTGTCACCTATTAAGGACACTCTATGAACAGAGAAAGGGAGTCAAGAGTCCTTTTCTATCATGCCATTGTAAATTAAGGAAATAACTAAAGACAATTTTACAAGGATACTCAAAATTAAAGAACAATACTAACAAAAAATAAATAAATAAACAAGGATGCTCTCTGTAGTTAGTTTCTATAAAGTTTGTATTCGTTTTTGTCATTAATCTGCTCTGTAGAAGATGCATTATACTATAGCCCTCTTGGCACTGTATTGCAAAGAAAATAATTTACTGTCATCAGCTAGGATCACTTGGACTTTTTTAGTTTTAGTTTTATTTTTTGAGATAAGAGTCTCACTCTGTCACCCAGGCTGGAGTGCAGTGGTGCAATCTCTGCTCACTGTAACCTTTGCCTCCTGGGTTCAAGCGATTCTCTGCCTCAGCCTTCCAAGTAGCTGGGACTACAGGCATGCACCACCACACCCGGCTAATTTTTTTGTATTTTTAGTAGAATCTAGTGAATAAAACATGAATATATCTCAAATCATTTATGCTGATTAAAAGAGTGGGGGGAGTATATACTATATAATTTCTTTGTATAAAATTCTAGAAATAGAAATTAATCTATATAGTGACAGAAAGCAGAACAGTGGTTTGCTTGGTAATGGGAGGGTATGGGTAGAGGAAAGGGATTATAAAAGAGCATAAGGAAACTGGTGGGTGATCATTATCTTGGCTGTGTTGATGGTTTTACTGGTGGATATATTAGGTAAAAACATATAAAAATATATGCAGTTTATACTTCAATAAAAAAGGTTTAAATATTGAATGAATTTGATAAGGCTATACTAAAGTTTTCTGTACTATTCTTATAACTTTTCCACAGATTGAAATTATTTCAAAATAAATTAAAATAAAGGCTGAGCATGGCAGCTCATGCCTGTAATCCCAGCACTTTGGGAGGCCTAGGCAGAAGGATCACTTGAAGCCAAGAGTTCAGGACCAGACTGGTAACATAGCAAGACCACATCTCTTTGAAATAATAATAATAATAAAAGATTACATGAATATTCTACAGTTTTTGTTATATGCCTGAAATTTTTCTTTTTTTTTTTTTTTTTTTTTTTGAGTCGGAGTCTCGCTCTGTCGCCCAGGCTGGAGTGCAGTGGCTGGATCTCAGCTCACTGCAAGCTCCGCCTCCCGGGTTCATGCCATTCTCCTGCCTCAGCCTCCCGAGTAGCTGGGACAACAGGCGCCCGCCACCGCGCCCGGCTAGTTTTTTGTATTTTTTAGTAGAGACGGGGTTTCACCGTGTTCGCCAGGATGGTCTCGATCTCCTGACCTCGTGATCCGCCCGTCTCGGCCTCCCAAAGTGCTGGGATTACAGGCTTGAGCCACCGCGCCCGGCCCAATTTTTCATTTTTTTTGAAGTGAGGAGAGAAAAAAAAAAATGGTCAATCTGTCTGACCTATGCTTTGAAATGAAACAAATACAAAACCAAATTTATAGTTTTACTTTGAAATTCTTTAGTTTGACTTAATTTGAGAAAGCAAAACAAACCTAGCTTTTTAAGTAGTATTTTTCTATTAGAATTTGGACCTTTAAACAAATTATGTTAAAACAACTTTAAAGATAAATTCTTACTTCCTGCATTCTCTCAAACCCTATTCAGAGATGGAAAAGTAAAAGTAAAATTTAGGCCGGGCCCAGTGGCTCAGCTGGATCCCTATAATCCTGGCACTTGGGGAGGCCAACGTGAGGATGGCTTGAGCCCAGGAGTGTGAGACCAGGCTGGGCAACACAGTGAGATCTCAACTCTATAAAAATTAAAGAAAAGTAAAATTTAGGCCGGGCGTGG